TCTAACAATTTTGGTGACGATTTTCTCACCTGTGGTCCTGAATAGCAACAGCAGCAATTTTCCGATTTTTTCAGTCGTTGGAACAGGGATGACTAAGGATGGAGAAGATTTAAAAAGGATGTGGCCAAATGTTTTCAAAATGCACATCGATAAATAACGTTTCAATGGAGAGAAATCGAGTAAAACTTGGTCAGTAATGGATTACGTTCTTCCTCTCGAGGAGGTGTCCGTCTATGTAACAGAAGACTCCTGTACTCCTGCTTTACAGAAGAAAAGTAACGCGTTTGTGCGGTGCTTCATGATGCTGTTACCCTGTAATTTTCTGATGTGCTTGATGGCAATCCATAACTCAACATCGAGGCTTTGAGTACACCTTCGAACGGCACATGTATTAATATTTCTTTACCACCTTAAATCGGGTTGCTCTGGTTGCCCCTCCCCCCCACCCCCCACTGGTGTTTTTTCTTAAATTATTTTTTACAACGTTTTTGAATCAAGAAGGTCTGACTATGACACCCTTACAGACGCTAAATTGATAGTACCTACAGACAGATCTTAGAGTTTTACAGAGCTGTCGAAGCAAAAGCGACGTGTCTGAAGTACTAAGAAATTAGCTTATGTAACAGTCACGTTCGAATGAAGCCAAAGCTGAGTGACGTATCTTTTCCAATGACTTCGTTTTGACAGCCTTGTGTTCAAGCTGTGGGGAAGACATTCCATCCGGAGCACTTCATCTGCAGTCATTGCGGAAAGCAAATCGGATCCGAGGGCTTCAATGTTGATCGGGGAAAACCATATTGTGAGGACGATTATAAGAAATTGTTTTGCGTAAAATGTGCACTGTGTAGGCGGCCGATCGGTGGAGGCGAACGATGGGTAGAAGCATTGGGAGAACCGTGGCATGCTTCCTGCTTCAAGTGTCAGGTAAGCAATCATTCGGGGTTTGCCCAAGTGAAGGATGTTTAGCGCGCTTTACTCCGGGTCAAGAGGTCTGGGCTCGAGACCTGGGCGGGTCTGACAAAATGGTGGAGGGTCACTACCATTCTATCTAGGGAGAGAAGCAACACTCTTAGTCACTTCAGGATAAGTTTCGTCTGGATGGTCCTCTTGCTTTAGTACAGAAAAGAATGTGCGCGGTGATCTAGTGGATGGTGTCTTAAATAAGTCTAGCCATTGTAACTGCAACAAAGTGCATATTTCACGGAGAGCTGTATCCATGCTAGAATTGGCTGCGGTTAAAACATAAATGATACAGTTTTTTTGACATTCTGTGACTAATTTGTTTTTCCTTTTTCTTCTATTCTACCACCAACAGCACCCAGGTTGCATTAAACATTTAGAAGGAAATCAATTTTATCAATATGGTGGCAAACCCTACTGCGTACTCCATGGTGCCCCATAAAACTACCCATCGATAAAACAATGAAGAATGGGTAACATTCTGTTCCAGTCTTCTACCGGTAAAACGTTATTGGTGGGGATAATTATGGCAGCTTTTGTAATTTAAGTAGACTTTGGTTTACCAGGCAGATCTATGATTGCAAAGATTACGTTTAAATAATAGATTAGATTACTTTTTTAAACTACCGCTCATTTCCAAATCAGGGGGGCTATAAAATAATCAAAAAATATGTGACGTTAGTAGGGAGTTGAAGGAAGCAACAATCAAGTTACCATTTTTTTCTCTGGGTTTTGTTGTCTTTTAGTTTTAGATCATTGTTTTTCTTTTTGGTTGGAGGATTTCTTGGTAATTCCTGTCCAAATGGATTCTTCGTGTAGTGAGGGAGCTCGCAAACTAGTTGGTTTGTGGTGTTGCTAGGTGACATGAGGTATCTATTCTTGCGTTAGATGACGTCATGTTTGATGCAGTGAGGTCTTTCCAAATTTTCATTGGTCGGAACAATGACGTCTTTCTATTCTTTGCGTATTTTATTACATAACCCTAGGAAAGGGTAACCTGTAGTGTTGCTGCTTTCTAAACCAGAGGCTAGATGTGAAACCAATTAGATTTAGAGTTATTTAGTGGTTTTTCACGTTACTTTTTCGTGTCTGGATCATAATTGAATTTATAAGATCTTGATGAAGAACTAACGAGGTGGTATCTAAGTATTTTCCATGAAGTCACGTTCTTTCTCGGTAAGCAAGCAGACTGAGTGACAAATCGTGAGAAATCACCAAAGCGAGGCGAATTAACCTGATCATATATTATGGCTATTTTTAAATATTTAAAGAAATTTATTTTCCAGGTTTTCTTTTTCTCGTCTTTATCTTGGCCGTGGAAGTGAATTTTACGCGTGCCTTTGGGTTAGAATTTGGCTTGAGAGAATTTTTTTGCTTGTTGAATCAAGTAATTTGTAAATATGAAAGACAAGAACTGAACATCTTTGCTTTCTTCACCGGTCTTCTTGATGTAAACTGAATGGCTATCCATCTTGAAGTTATTTGGTCTGGGATTTTTGGTAATTTTGTTTGTATTATTTTAGAGTTCTAAAATTCAAAACGTTAGAGAAACGGTCTTACTATTTGGAATTAATGGAATACGTTTCACTGGTCTGAACTTGAGAGGAAACCTGCAAGGATTTGTCTTCATTTCTCAATTAGATGAAAACACGGCGACAAAGGAAATTGTCTCGGAGTTACTCCCCCTTCCCTTCCCACCTTAAAAAAAATGATTTTGAGAAAGGAAAAAAAAAACGAAAAGAAAAGGATGAGAAAAGAAATCATGCCGGCTTCGTCTTGGACAAATTTTATAAACAGTAGAATTGTGAAACAGAGAAACAAGTTGGTCTTTGGGAAAGAACCATCTCAAACGGAATATTGATTCACTCTGATTCGTAATTTATTTTTTCGTTGGAAAGCATGCCAAAAAAAATAAATGGTGTTGGGATGTTGCCTCAGTAGTATCATTTAAGTAAAAGATATAGCTTTGATAATAAACCAGTTGACCGTATGTTTAAGACTTTTTTTATAATTTTTTTTGTTGCTATATTTTGCAATTTTTCGTTTGCTTCTATAGCGAGGTCCGCTATTTGTAAGTTTAGTTAATTCAGCTTTCCGTTGAACTTGCCAAGGTAATAATTATTAGGAACAGTGCTTGCGAAAGGTAACATGCTATTAGGCCGTTGAAATATGAATTGTGCAAACAGGAACGATGAAATTGTAAAGAAATGGTAGTGAGGCTGTCCTCTTATTAAAGAAAAAATTACGAATTTTCTGGTTCTAGCGTTACCATGAATGCCTGTTACGCATGCGTTTGTGGCCTCACCATACGATAGAACTGTCATAATACGATCACCACCACTTGCTCTAGAATGAACTGTTTTATTATAATTGATGGACTCTTACCGTAAGTTGTGTGTCGTTAGTAGAATTATAAGTGTAACAAAGTGACAGTTAGAACTCCGCGGTGCAGATTGCTTGAAAATGCATTCATTCCGTAAAAAAAGATGTAGTTGCATGGGACTAAGTAATTGGATTATTAACGATTGAGGAGTGCTGGGAGAGAAAGCCATTCCGCACGCGGTTCATTTGTGACACATAAAAGTAGTTATTAAAACGACATGTTCGTATTAGTGGGGTGGTGCGATCGTACAGCGTGTTCCCTAAGTTACCATTTCATCGTCCTTTTTATGTGGGTGTTGCCGTTGTGAACGCGCTACGGTACGCGTACATCATGCCTTTTTTTATATGCAATGATATTTTTAGTTGTGGTCTAAAATATTAAAATGTACTTTGTAATGCGAGCTTGTCAACATTTGCAGAAAGTGATTTTTCACCTTGTAAACAGAGATCTAATTTTCAATGTATCTGTTATTTCCAGAATAAATTTATACTTTAAAGAATTTTTGTTGTTCTCGAACCGTTTTTCCTTGTGTTTGGTAAACCTCAGCCGTGATTGCAAACCATGTTCAGGGGGAAAGTACAATTTGAACGAGGAAGATTTGCCCGAACTCAAGGTCCATTCCTCCTGCTAATTCTTTTCAATCTCACAATCTTTTGTCACCGGTGGTGTTTTAAATTTTCGAAAAGTAACGTGAACTCTCAAAAGTTGACCTGAAATATGCCAAAAATTGTAGTTGAGACGCCGCCACTTGGAATTTTACCCAGCACTCTAACTGTGTCGAAATTGAGTTTCATACTTGTTTTCACTATTTCTTGGAGATCTGTTTGAAGAATGAGGTGCTGGAAAGAAAAGGGCCTTCATGACCAGAGTAGAAGCCGCCACTTGGAATTTTACCTAGCACTCTGACTGTGTCGAAATTGAGTTTCATACTTGTTTTCACTATTTCTAGGAGATTTGTTTGAAGAAGGAGGCGCTGGAAAGAAAAGGGCCTTCATGACCAGAATAGCGGTTTTTTTCCCAAATAACCACGACAGCGACTGTTTTCAAACCGCTCTTTGAGGTTCTGCGTTTGCGGCCAGGTTACTAAGTTGTCTTCAGAATTGCGGACTTAAGAGCAGTTCTTTCCATTAGAATCTCAAAACGTGGTAAGTGGTTTGAAATTTTCATAAATACTTTTTGAATAGTTGCTGGTTCTGGAGCATACCTCTCCTTCAAGACCTATAAGCATTAACACCCTCGCCCGTTAGATAAAAAAAGAAGATTTTGTTCAATGTTCATATTTGTTCCCTGCAATTTTGCTTTTAATCAAATTCAAGGCTTTCATTCGACACGTGACCTGAAAGAAGCTTCCTTTTTCTGCCACGGCTCTGGTAATATTTGTCACGTTGTTCAACCATGTTTTTAGTGACGTCCCTTTTGTGTGGAATCTGATACGTCATAAAAAAACCACGGCAAACATCTATCAAACGAAAAAACTGACTGGCTTTGACGCCAAAATTATTTTATAACACGGGAATATCGACATCCTCGACCTCGCATAGATAAATGTCTCATTGTTATCATTACTATTATTATTTTTATTTTGATTATTATTATCTTTAATCTGAGACGGTTGCATGATTTTTACACGCAGCAAAAGATTAAAGCGTTAATCTTTTTACGTCCAAGCATCCGAAGCGAAGCGCACAGATTTATTTGCGGTGGTTGATTCATCTAACTGAGCTGACTGTGGCCTTGTATCTTTCGCCATATTGTCGGCCTGTTCGCTGTAGTCCCTCGCATCTCCAGTCACAGTGACCTTCCTCCTGCGCGCATGCGCCGTGCGCGGATTCATTAAGGGTCTCAAGGGATCAACCTCTGTACTATGTTTCTTGTACATTTGTTGATTCTGTGAACTGTTTTCGCTTTCGTCTCCTTGTGTATTGAAATCTTTTTGGGTTTCGTTGCTATCTTTCCGTCTTTGCTGCGCACTTGTAGTTTCTGCCTTTTCTTGAACAAGCACTTTATCAGAGTGTCTCACAATTGACAATCCACTCGTTTTGGGCCGCAAAGAAGGCTTATTAACCGAGCCAGACATCTCGGGCACAGGGTCCGACTGTGCCCGTCGCCGGCCAGTTGTACCTATCATTCTGTTCACATTGATCGTTTTACGAGCAAGATTTTTAAACGATTTTCCTCCTTGCCCTGTGGGCTTCACCTTATCTTCTTCATCGTCTTTCAATTCGGCTGCTGCTACATCAGTTTCTTCATTTACCTCAACTTTAGCCTCATTTGCCTCGTCTAAAGAAATAGGTTTGTGCATGTTGTGAATAGCTTCGGACGAAAGCTGTCCCTTCTGCTTCAACCCTTTGAGCAAAGCAGTCGCAATGACAGAATGGCCAATTTGCCGAAATTTTCCTTTGATTCGGAGGGTCTCTTCCATGGTTAGCGAAGCGCATTCGTCGGCGTCAACCGGTTTTCGGGAACGCGGTGTTTTGGCCAGATGTGAAGGTAGATCACAGGGTACAGAGCGCGCGCGCATGGTATCGGCTCTACTTGGGGCTATTGGGGTCAACAAAGCTGGCGAACGAGGTCGATTGCGATTATCGGCCGATTCGTTGTTTTTTTCTCCACTCAAAGGCCTGTCAATTAATGGCGATTTTCTTTTAATCGAAGGGCTGCAATCGGCTGGAGGGTTCGGTGTTTTGATGACTGGCAAAAATGATCCACTTTTGCCACAGTCCTCGGATACTTCGTTCTTTTTAGAGCCAAACGTCGGCGCCGAAATCTTTCGCTGTGGCAAAGCTGATATTCCCTGCGGAGTATTTTGGTGTGTTCTCACTTGCATACTTATTTTGCGTTGTCGCGGATTTGGTGAAGGGGCAGCCACTTGAAGTGAGGGCCTTCCAGGAAACGTTTGAAGTTTCGAGGCGCAAGCACCAGCCATGTCCTTTTCATTCGTGCATTTTTCCTGAGCACTTGATGTAGACACACTTGTTTTTCGCGTAGCAACAGATGTTTTTCTCAAACTTCTCTCAGTTCCTGAACTTTCCTCCAAGTTGTCCTCAATGGCGGCCGCTTGAACCCTTCGCCTTAACGGTGCCCTTATTTGCAAGAGAGTTTCTTTGACTTTAGAAATCTCTCGAAGTTCTCTCTCAAGTATTTTCTCTTCTCTTTGGTACATTGATATTTGTTTCTTCATGGCTATTTCGTGCATTACGTTTCGATGTTGAGCGACGCCATCGCGGTCCAATCTGTCCAACGACTTTCCCTTCTGCCCGGTGTTCATTGCGCAAATGAAACGAAGCTCTCCTTCTGCACTACTTGCGACTGATATATAGATTTGTTTAAGTACTCACAAACACTTCTTAAAAGTCGATGCTGTAACCACAAAATATCGGTCACAACAACTCTTATAACGAATGTTAATAGGTTTGGCAACCATTGAAGTGAACCCCATGGGAAAAAGGCTTACTGCAAAGTTTACAAAACTAATTAACGAGTTGATCTCGCGCTGTATTTTAATGAACAGCACGGAAAAAAATTATTAATTTTGCGGTAAAAAATTTGATATTAAGTTAAGGCTTATATTGCCAATTTAGTTTTCTGAAAACTTTGGAACTTTGCTAAGTCTGCGGTTTTGTTGCCTTTCCGTCAAAAGTTGTTATAACACCTTTCGTAGTATTTTTAAAATTCTTGGTTTATCTGACAACTTGTAGATAAGTGTACGTTGTTTAAACTTCCAACTTCAATTAGAGTGATTTATAATCACTGAATTCCATCACCTATTTACAAGAGCGTATACATGGATTAGTGTCTGTTTTTGTTTGATTTACGGAAAACCTTTGCACTCGACATTCTGCATCCCGCAAGTGTAAAAATATTTTCTATGTGGTCAGTCACCCTACGGAATAAATTCATTAACCGATTAAAGAGAATCCACTTTCATGTTTTAGGATGTCAAGAAATATGATCTCACGGTGTAACCCGAAAATCACGTAATTGCTATTTTTAAGGTTCTACAGAGCTGCAATTTTTTTATTTAAAAGCGTTCTACTAGGTGTTTGCATATCCTACTCAAAAATCCTTTTTAAATTTCAAGCTCCGTCAATCAACAGCAAATTGAATGCAAACGTTTATCGGCAGACTTTAACAAGCTTTCATCATTTCAAGCTCGTCGATCGTTCGACATTCTAATATCATGCTTCAATGGTTTTCTAATTTGCAATTTTTTATTCCTAATTACTTCATATTATCGCTTTATTTCAACCTGTCAGTCATAAAACATTTAATCTAGATTTTTTCCGACTGAATTTAGAAGGTGCATCAGAGAAAGAAAACATTGGCTGTGTCAACAATAGACCTCAATTCTTTCAATAGGTATAGATTGCCTAAGAAGCCGTATCAACGACAAGGAAGTTTAGGGCAGTGAAAACAATCTCTGCCTTTAGCTTATTCCCGACGTAGGTGCTTATACTGATCAGTTATTTCCATGCAATTCGTTTCTTTAGGATTAGAAGTCGATAAAAGTTGTGTTAATTGTGTTGCATGGCTGAAGGGTAATGCAAATGTTGGCTTTGCGTGTTAAGGAAACTGGGAAGAAAAAAAGTTTGGTATCTCCACGAAGCTATGTGATCTTTGTTCCTTCAAGGTAGTTAAACTTTTCTTTTTTGAAAATTACCGATTCCAGTCATCAAAATTTAAGCTAAACTAGTGAAAATTTCGCATATGGCAAGTGAAAAAAATGAAAATCAGGTTTCGCTGCAATATCAGCGCAAACGAAGCATAGCGGTCAAAAGTTAGGCATGCGCAGGTGGATCAATTCTACCCAGGCGCACTCATCGTGGTCCGTGCGCTCCAATTCCCGCGCAAATAATTACAGTCTCAAATAGCTTTCTCATCTACTTTCTTACAACAAAAATATTTGGAAAAAGTTAGAGAAATTGCAGAAGATATCTACTTCTAAACAAGTCGCATCGGTGGCCCACCGGATTGCTCGCCGTTCCGGCGGCATAAAGCGATTCGAAACAAACGCAGCGGTCGAACGTTGGGCATGCGCGCAAACAAGGCTGGCCGTGCACAATTTCCCGTGCAAACACCATGGTTACTGGCTTGAGTGGTTATTTACAACACTTTTTAAGAAAACTAGGCTCTGACAGCCTGAAAACGCCCTACATACCTCGCTGCAACAAGAGGTCCTTTTAAATGCTTACTAATCAACAACGAACGGACGCTATTTATTCTGTTCCGAGCAATGACTGTGATCATTAATATATCGGACAGACCCAACGCCAGTTTGGTACACGTTTAAAAGAGCATCAAAAAGCGGTCTTCTTTTGCAAAAGAGAAAATTCAGCTTTGTCGGAGCACACATGCCTAACTAACCTTACAATTGAGTGGGATAAGTCTAAGATTATCACCACTAATCGACGTTACCACCAGCCATTTTTTGGAAGCCTGGCATATTAACTCCACACATACTCCTTTAAATGGCGATGATGGCGGCTTACTACTTGACGCCTATTTACACCTCGTCAGAAAAAAGACCAGCTGATTAGTGACCATTTGAAACCCCCTCTTGTTGCATCGATTGGATCACCCCTAATGAAGGCACTAAACAGGAGAGTGGAAATGTTACATTCATGAAATCTTTTAAACCAGAGGTAGCATCAAACCACGTCACATAACGGCTCATTCTGAATAGAACGTTAGTCCATTGCAGGTTACCTTCAAAACTGCCTATCATTTTACTCGGTTCTAAAATTTTCTTGGGTCAAATTGTCATGGTGTTCGAAAATCCAGAGCTGAAAATTCAGCAATACTTTTCCTTCGCGTTGTTTTTATTAAAATTACATTTGATTTCTTATGTTTTATAAAGTTAAATTTAACCTCGATTTTGATTATTCAGTTCAAAAATACAATTGAATTCATAATGATAATTGAACTGAGTGGAGCGCAATTTGGGCTGAAATCATTCGTGTGATTTCAGACCAAAATTGCACGGGACAAGGTTCAATTACCACTTTATTACATCCATTTTGAAATCACCCAGGTACAGGGCTTGGTCAGTTCAAATATTTTATTGATGCAGTACTGAGCTAGTTTGAAATTAAATTCATCCATTTTTTGGGGGGAAAAACCAAGAGTTTTGGAAACAAAGGTTGCAAAATTTGCCACATGATACTCGTTGTCTTTCATTTTCCTGCAATTACATTGGTTACTTTAAACAAGCCTTGAAATCTGATTGGTTGTTTTGTTTTTAGTGTAGCCTCCTCATTGGCTGGGAAAATGATGCGATTTATAGCAAAAAATGGTGCGATTCGTGAATAAATCACACCAATTAGAGCCAATCAGATTACAGGGACCACCAGTGATTTCAAAATGGGTGTAATAAATGATTAAATAAAAAATAAACACTATTTCGGTATTTTGGAACGATGCGTTTTATACAGTTAAAACCATGCAAAGGAACAACATAGACCAATCAGAACGAAGAAAACTATAAAAAGCCAATAACAGTTCAAAGTATTAAAAGATAAACCACTTGAAACAGAAATTAGAATAACTGAGACACCGTCGGTGTTTTGTGATGGATCTCATTCGGTTGAAGAAAAGCGAGGAAAAGAAAAGCAAAGCAATCTTGAGAACTTTTCGACACTAAAAATAAGATGTCACGTATTGAAGGACCATTATTTAAAATTAATGTATCTTTGCTCAACCTATGGAATGTTTTTCGAACTTTCAAGCCGTTCTGTCTGCTCTAAACCCTTGGGTGAAATTCAAATTTTCGTCGTAAATTACTTCGGATAGTACCACACGAATAAATCAGTGTAACCCTCAAAAGACTTAAAATATTGCTGTGTTTAACTTGTCAACTTATGCCAATATTTTATCATGTTTCGCGGATTCGTCATCATTTCAGTCCAGTGCTCGCACTCAGTCCCCCTCGCGTACATCATTCCCCCAAGAAGGACTCTACCGACTAACTGGTCCTCCTTACCCCCTCCCCTTGAGTGCATAATTGACACCAGTAAAGTACCAGAGCCCAGGTCATCTCCGGACACAGAGAAGTTGAAGGACTCGTTATACAACGGGTCACGTGATCCATGGTGAAGAGGTCCTTTTTTAGTCTTGATTATTTTGTTTCCAATAGAGAAAGTCACTTTAGGGTAGGAATCTGGAAAAAAAGGAAATGAAACGTAAGCATCAGTGAAATGATACAGCTATGACATAAGACAAAAGGCTGCTGGTTCAAGGAGTGAGGAATGAGAATGAGAACTGCCCTTGGCTCGGTTTGCACGAAAGTGAGTAAGAACATATCTATCGAATTTACTTCAGGATTTGAAGCACGAGAGCGGCCCAGGTTTAATATCGGCAATAATTTGCTCCTTTAAACTTACTAATAATGTCAAGGGCTAGTCGAGCTTTATAAACTTCTTCCTACCGATCTGTTTTGAGCAAGAGCGGATAATCCTCTCTTGGTTTCAAGGGAAAGGAATGTCAGCATTTTTCACAGAGTACCTATCGTCCAAAACAATAAATCGTCTCAGACAAAAAATGTCACACAACAATTTCGACCCCAAAGGAATGGTCGTGTCCATATCCTCCGAGAAAGAGAAGAGATTAAAAAAATATACTCTGTGTTCTTATAAATGCTAGCAAGATACCCTTTCAATTATCCTACAATGTTACATTTGGACCTACTTTTAAGTTGGTCAGAAACCTCTTATCAAAATATCTTGGCCAACGATGATAGAAGTGCTTTTTTTCAGGCTATTAAACGCGAAGACAAGATTGTGAGAGAAATTCACCCACGCCTATTTCAAATAATTCAAAACAAAGTGATGCGGAGGCCTGCGTTACCAAAGTAAACAATTATTCCCGGTCACCTGTGCCATGGGGCTCCATTTTCTTGAGGTTGGACGCTCTAAGGACGATAATCGTCAGCCTGTCTAGGGTGGGGTAGTAAGACATTGAGATATGAATTTCGCCGAGTTCGGACGGGCTCTGAAATGTGAAACAAACAAAATAAACAAATGTGTTCTGATAAAAAACTCAACATGTGAAGACAGGAGAAAATAATGAGTTCGTAACATGTGTGAATGAAGATAATGTTAAAAATTGTTCTGTGTTTGAACTTGATCGTGAAAGGATTTTGATGGAGTTGCTAGTGGTATATTTTTTCTGTAACCTTCGTAGCGAGCGGTTTTGTGAGCGTTTTGAAGCGTTCAGCGGCAGAGCTGCGAAAGGGTTGGGACGGAATAAGTGGTAGCCTCTCGTGGTTTTTTT